AGGGTATTTAGGGTTTAGGGTTTATAACTAGGGTTTAGGGATGTTTAAGGTATTTAGGGTTTAAGGTTGGGGTTGCTGTAAGGGTTCCTCTACGGGTCCCAAGGCCGTATGGGTTCTGGCTTTGGCTTAGTCCAAAGGGTTTAGGGTTTAGGGTTTAGGGTTTAGGGTTTAGGGTGGTTTACGCTGACGGTCGAGGAGTACAGGCCGTAGGAGTTTAGGGTGTAGGAGTTCAGATTTTTCAGGGTTTTGGGTTTAGGAGCTTGGGGGCGGTTTACGGAGGTTTAAGTTCAGGGTTTCGCGCAAGATACCCCGACAGTGGTAACTGCCACAAGGGCCTCGATTGGTACATAAGAGCCTGGCAAGGGTCTGTTACTGCAACACCCTAAACCCCAAAGCCCCCCCAATCCTGGTTTCGCTCTGTCATAGTTGGGTATCATTTTACATCTTTATGGGTACTTACACTCAACAAGGAACAGAAATCTACATGTTTAGTTACTATCCCAACCATGAACGGGCTCGGGCATCTAAGCTTGGCTTGTAAGTAGTTAGTTGCATCAAGCGAATCTAGCGGTAGTTGAACATGACTTCAAAACCGCACTGGCTAGGTCGCCTGACGCTCATTACGGCATAAGCCCTAAAGCCGAGATGTTCGAAGTCGTCAACTCCGCAGGAAATCTCACGCAAGAACCCCTACTTGCGCAACTTTTTCCAAGGGTTTCTGGACAAGCCGGACGTCGAGCAAGCCGAGGCAACTAAGGAAAGGCTTAATAAAAGAGGGATTGAGAACTAGAACAAGGTTTCGAAGTGTATTCTAGCATAGTTATGATGAGGAACCTTAAGTTTAAGAAACTGTGGGAACCTTAAGTCTAAGGAATTATGCTACTGCTTACGACGTGAATCCAAGAGTGATTCTTCAGACTGCAGCCTCTGCATTTCTTTCGGTGCATTGCCGTCACTCTTCTTTATTGCGGCACGGTGGTGGGTCGGGTTTACGCGGTATGGCTTTTCAGACCAAGGAGGGAGTTACTTTTCGGTTCCGGCGCTGTTCCGTAAGTTTTGCAAGGGGAACCTTGTTCCGCTAGATTTTCGACGGAAATCGTTGTGTGTTTCCTGGGTTTGTGCAGGACACCTACCTCCCCATAGGCTGGACTACCCAGCCCTGAGTTTCGGTTCATGTAGTCTGTTTCGGTCTGATCAGAAGAATATTTTCCCCTCCCACAGGCGAGGGGACAGAGGGAAGGAAGGACGGATGTAAGGGAGGAACGAAAGAAGGATGGAACAGAATGAGCGTGAGGGAGGAGGAGAGAAAGGAAGGAAGCTACGCAGAAGAAAAGGGCAGTAGCAACAAAGGCAGGAAGCAAGGAATGATGGAAGGAAGGCTCCGGGAACGGAAGGAAGAAATACGGAAGGAAAGAGGGAAGAGACGGTGGGAAATGGAGTCAGGAATGCTCTACAGAAGACGCTGCCAAAAGGCACAATATCCCTTGATTCTGCAGTCGTCTCTAGACCATAACTTAAGCCCGAAGTCCTCTAATTGATCAGGAGTTAAGGGTTTAGGGGGATTTTGTGGGTATCCCCCAACTACAACTCTCAGCGAGGGTTTAGGGTTTAGGGCTCAGGGTTTAGGGTTTAGGGTTTAGGGTTTACGGTTGTCTCAGTGAGGCTTCCCAAAGCGTCGGCAGCACACCTCCAGCAGCATGCACGGCTGCGCCGCGTGTTCCCGGACTTCAGGCTCCGTCAGTCTACACCCTACAAGACCCAAAGAAGCCCTAAAAACCCTAAGCCGTTTAAACAACCTGAAGCCTACCTATAGTCTCCCTTGTAGTTCCTTTTTTTGGTTTAACCAATTTTCTATTAAGGATTTTAGAAGGTATCCCCAAAAAAGAACTACAAAGGAGACTATAGGTAAGCCCTAAACCCTGCAAGCTGTAAGTCCTAAGCCTGATAAACCCCAAACCCTGTCGACTCCGAATCCTCAAAGCCCTGAACCCTAAACCCTAAACCCTAAACCCTAAACCCTAAACCCTAAACCCTAAACCCTAAGGCATCCTAAACCTTCACCCTGAACCCCTCCTCTGAGAAGCCTTGCAGTAGCCCTGAGAAGACTTTGTAGCAACGCTGATCGAACCGCTGCAGGAAGCGCTAAAGGAGCCGGTTTAAGCATTTCGAACCCTTATACTAAACCCTAAACCCTAAACCCTAAACCCCAAACCCTAAACCCTAAACCCTCGCAGAACCATGATCTCCACCTCAGACACGCTAAACCCCTACATCCCGTACGTAGGGTTTGGAATTTAGC